GTGCAGAATGCACTCACATTAACCATGCAGGGTTGAAGTTCAGTAATTAATTTTCAACAGTCAGCAGTTTTCTTGGAGAAGGAGTGTTTAGTTTGCACAGACAGTCAAGACAACTTGACAATTGATGGACTGATTTCCTTGGTGTTGACTCAGCTCCCCCTGAATCTGACAGACACCTATGAAGATGAAGCAAAAGCACCACTCTACTGATGCTTCCCTTCCTGTAGATAGAATAATAAGCCTTTCCCAACAAGACAGCCTTTAAAAATTAATGTAGCAGTAAAGGTATTTATATAAATTTGAGCCAAGTGCATATTTATGACATGGATATTGATTAGGCAGTGATGCAAATGTAAATTACCCCTAATTTTGGGGTAGTAGTATGGGGTATATTAGATGCTTAGTGAACACTGGTATGCTTCATTGCTATTGTTGTCCGTACAATACATTTTTAAATGTAGGTAAGACGTAAGGAGTAGGTTGTGTTGACTTGCTTAATGAAAGCTTTCAAACAAAACTTAATTGCTGGGTTCATAATTCTACATTTGGAGAGGCCAATGCTCTAAGGATTTTTGTGATATTGCACTTTATATCAGCTGACTGGGTTGTATTTTTTAAATCTTCCTTTAAGAACTGTATCTTCTTGCTAAAAGGTTTTATTGAATATGTTGTTTTTTCAGTTTTAACCTTGAAGATATTTTGCATTGGATCTAATTACAGTCACGTGAACAAATGATCCTGTAAATCTAGAACTACAGTACTGAAATAATTCAATAAAATAACTTGTGAAGAGAAAGATTTTGGCATTTGAGTTTGTGTGGCCAGTTTGTGACAGCAAACACCAAGAGCACTAAATCACTAAGAAGTAACTTTCCAAAACAAACTCCAAATCAGGAAGTACAACAACTATTATACTGTATATTGTGTTCATTTCCCACCGACTGTAGTCAATATATACTACAGTCGCACACAGCTCTCACAGAGCATGACTAGGAGTTCCAATAGCCCACATTTTGGAGTCATGGTTAATAGTCTTTGTGCCCCCAGAACATCATGGGCTGGAGATATGCCCTCAGAGGTTGGTCTTTATTTCTAGGTAGGACCTCATCTTTCACTTGGGAAATCTTGGTTATATAGAAATATATAAAGAATATTCTTCAGAACATTGAAGTCACATTCACTGCCTTAACATGTCTTTAGCAGGTCTTCTTGTGCTGACTGGTTTCTATGCAGATTACAATCATTTCTCAAGGTTTTTTCACCTCGGTCAGGGATTTGCTTTCTGTTTCTTATTTCTGTTGAACACCAGGAACGGCTCCTTGCAGGATATGCAGGGCAGAGTAACTGTAAACTTTGATTTAAGAAGAACAAGTAGGACTCAACTGAGTGTAACTGTATCTGTGGGTTATTGTTAGTTATGACCCTGCAGTTTATCAGCTGAGGTTTCATTTTGCTGTTTTAAAATTAGTAAAACATTTTTTCTAAAACCATACTGACAGACAGTAAAAAAGGAGGAAGGAAATTATTCAGTAAATTCTTGTGTCTCTTTATAAGACTGTAAAAGCTTAGGGAAGATTTCTGGGATGGTGGCATCCCAGAAAATACTTTCTCAGCATTGCTTCTGAATTGGAGACAGGAGTGCAACACATGTAGCAGTGCGTGAATTTTGTCACATGTCAAAAGGTACCAGGATGCCATGATGGGTGTGCACTGGGCACATCCCAGCCCTGTAAAAACAGCGCGCTCATAACTGCACCTCTTTATCTGCAAGACACAGTGGGGGGGCCACACAAGCCTTCCTTCATGCACAAGATGTTCACCTCCGTGATGGCCAGCCATGAGCCCAGCTGATGATGGAGGTGCTGCAGCCCCTCCACAGACACCGGTGACACTGTGCCAGCTGATGCCTCTCAGACTGCAGACATGTGTCAGGGCCCCAGCTGGTCTCACCCGTGAGCAGGCATCAGTGACCTCCATGTGTATTCCTGACCTCTCCTGGAACAAGATTTTCAGATCTTGAGTATCCACCTCATAAAATGCCATTGTTGAATATGAGCTTTTTTTACAACTGCCTTAGACATGGGACTGAGCTCCAACTGAGAAGGTTACCGATACAAAGACTTCGCTTGAATAGCCCACAATTGACTAAAAAGACTCATTTATTCTTTATGCTTCCAAAGGGAAGTGTGTTTGTGTGTTGCCTTGAGGTGGACTGGTGTCCCGTCCAGGGTGTGCCAACCTTCTGCCTGGTGCTGGCCAAGCTCCCCCTGACCCTGAATTGGATAAAGAGGTTAGAATATAAATAATCGATGGACTGCTTCATTCAGGTGTTTACAGTTTTGCCTGATTTCTTACTACAAAATTATTTTTTAGGTAGTAGTTTTCTCTTAGCAGGGATTTAAAGAGAGCCTTAAGAAAAGGGATATATCTTGCTCCCTGCCTCTTCACTATGGAGTGTGATGTTTAACTCATCAGCTGTGGGTGAGCTCAGAGTAGCCGGGAAACGAGTGTGTGCCAAACGGAAAAATGGGAGAGCGGCTCTATCAGATGAAAGTGCTGTATCCTCTGGAATGCCATTGCCATTTATAGACATCAGACAAGCAATCTGTGAGAAGGAGGTAATTTGCAGGCAGGCCCGAGAGAGAAATTTGAGGCTTGAGGCACAGGGAGCTGGGAGGAAGAATTAAAGGCATACAGCACAGTGAAGTGGGAAAACTGCAGCTCACAGAACACAGACACCGGCGCACAGCAAACCCTGGCGTGTGTATGCAGAGGAGCCCAGAATTGTTCTTAAGAGAAACTGAATAGTGTTCAATGTAGATTGCATGCTTCTTTAGAATCGCAGAAAGCTTTTAATCCTTATTAATCAATTTTACAAAATCCCCAAGAGCCAAGAACATTTATAGCAACACTTTCAACCTTCTTATGAATTGTCCAAATGATCATTTCAAACTTCATCCATCAATCACTTTCAGCTTCCAGGATAACTGTTTTAAAAAGCGATACCAGTTAGGACCAAGAACTACCCATGAATGTGATTGGCTCTTACTGCACATGTAGGCAGTGTTAATACATGACACCTCTTGCTGCACCAGTATGAACAGAGACCACTGCTGGGATCTGAATGGGATCCACTGATGGGATCTGTACTGAGACCACTGCAGCGATCTATATTGGGATCCACTGCACTTCTAATTTATGTTAATGATCTAGTCTCTGGTATAATTAGTAAATTAATCACAGAAGCTGATGATACCAAATTAGGAAACACTGTAGATTAGCACTGTAGAAGCAGTAGATGGAAAAAAAAATTAAGACTGGGCAGCAGACAAGTGGAGGGTTTTTCAAGATGTAAACACTAAAACTATAAATATAAAATGTGAAACATTCAGATAGAAGAGGTTATTTGTAAAAAGAGCTTATATTGACACATCATTTACATTTTGTAGAGAATGTGGGAAAGCGAGGCAAAATGGTAGGACCTATTCTGTAGTTAAAACATTATTTAAATCAAAGGATGTTATTGCTAAAATTGTATAATGTACTAATAAGACTTCATTGGAATACTGTGTATTTTGGTTACTATCACCACATACTGTACAAAACATATTTTCAATCAGTCCAGGGAAGAGTCACCAGGTGCAGACTGACATGCTGAAGGAACTGAGCCTCTTCAGTCTTGAACAGAAAAACTACAAGGGTCCCGAGACAAGTATTAAAATGGCTGCAGAAGCCCAAGTGCAGGCTACTGTTTCCAGTGCGTGTGATGATGGTGAAAAATAATTAAAGGAGTTATTTTTGGAACCATAGAAACATATTAAATTTAGTTTACGTGTTGCAAATGTTACTGTTACTGCTGCCAGGGTGTGTGTTCACCCTGGTAGGAATTTACCACTTTTCTGCAGGCTTCTGTCCAGTGGTTTTTAGTTTAAAGATTTGCTTCTGTGAAAAAAAACTTCCAAAAACTAGGGAAAAAATATAAGCACCTTTATGGGGTTAATTTTTGTTATTCTTTATTTTAGGATTTTGTTTCGTGCAGTTTTATCTTATTGATACTGCGTTTACTGCGAGAATAGATTAAGCTACTAACATTTTCAATGTCAATCACAGTTTCTACAATGTTTTCTAAACCTCCTATTAAGGTATTTTTTCAAGCCATGGTCAGGCAGTATTAGAATAGAATAGAATCTTAATTGCCACACGTCCGAGGCTGGTGAAAACTGTTGTTGGTACAGCTTTACTACAGACATTTGACTTGTAACAGTAACATACAGAATATAAATACAGGACCAGAATGCACAATATACAATGCAGATTATTAAAATACAGGATGATGTATACAATACAAAACATAAAAATTCACTCTATAATCGAAAATGCAAAACAATCCGCGTTGATGCCCTGCAATGCAAACATAGACAAATAGATAAATGTAAACATAGACAAATCAGTGCAATTTAAATATGATACAGGTAAAGCACAATACTAACTAAAAAAAGCACTGCCCTTGGTATATAGATATATACCTCTGCTTCTGGAGGGGCACACCCAGGTTTTATAATCACCAGGATTTAAGACCTTAGAAAAGTTTAAATTGGCCTAAGTAAGACATAAATGTATTGAATAAGGCCTTCAAAGGTCAGGTGAAACCCAGATCTGTACACTCTGCAGCCCTTGTAGACTGGACGTGTGTACTGCTGCCTTGGTCAGCCATGAATCACCCACCTGTGATGACAAAAAACAAATGTTCAGGAACTGGAAAAGTCTGGTTTTAATTCTTTCTCCTTTTTCACAGGTTCAAAGAAGAAAACCAAAGTCATCAAGAACAATGTGAATCCCGTGTGGAATGAGGTACGAGAGCCTGAAAATAAAACAGACAAGCAGATAGACTGTGCTCTGTGTCCTTCTTAAGGAAAGATTCTTACATGTAGGTAGATCAGCACACACCTACAGACAAACATAGACTGCCCTGATGTAGATAGACAGACAGCTCTCCACTGCTCACTGCTCCTCTGAGAGCAGCAAAGAGTCAGGGAACTGTGATGGCGCTCTCTGCAATGACTCACACTCCATCGGCTCTCACTGGCTTTGACCGAGAAAAGTGCTCTTCTCACCCAACCCTGTGTCTCTCCCATGTAGGGCTTTGAGTGGGACCTGAAGGGAGTCCCTCTGGACACGAATGCCGAGATCCATGTGGTGGTGAAGGACCATGAGACCATGGGCAGAAACAGGTCAGACTGGGGCGGGGGAGGTGAGAAGGAGACCAAACAGGGTGGAGGGTGGGAGGGTGTGGTCAATTGAATTTGTGTGGGGGATATCACAAAATATGGCATGTGATTGTTAGGCAGGGAAGCCTCTTGTTAAAAAGGTGTGTGTTGCTAAGTGACCACAATGGTAGAAACTTTGTAATCTAAGAAGCAACAGCTGCAGGCCATCTTATAATTATCAGCTGCACACTTTGCTGCAAGGAGAAATATCTAGGAATCCGTCTGAGCTTCACTGAGTAAGCCACCCAACATGCAGATAGAGCAGAAGAACTAACTGAGGAGAGTAAGGTGCTGGTACGAGTGTGTCTGTGTCCACTTAGCAGTGAGAGTGGCAGGGCTAGAGCTTTGGGGCAGAGTGGGTTTGTTAAATGTCTGTGTGCAGGCAAGTGAGCAGGTTATGTGCAAGGACAGCAGCCTATTTATATCAGAAGGCTGGCATATATGAAGGGTGGCAGGCTGGTTAAGCTGAGTCTTTCTGTGTGTTAAACTGTGTTGTGTCGTACCCCCATAAAGGGAACGACTCTGGAGAGAACTGGGACAAGGTTATATTAAACTGTATTGTGTGTGCCCCACAAGGGGAAAGATTTATAACAACGATCTTGGAGGTGATTGGGAGTAAGTAATCTTTGTGTATTGTTATGTGCCTGGAGTACCTCGAGGAAGGGGCCCATGAAGGACACTGAGGGCAATATGTCACGAGTACAGAATTCAAAGCCCCAGAGTCCGCAAGCTGAGGGTTCATTAAGGAATGAACAAGCTCTGACAGAGTGAGTGTTAGAAAGCAATAAAGCATTCCATGTGTCCCAGTCATCCTGATGAAGGGGCATTTTGAGAACCAATCTCAGAGAGGAAAATTGTGAAAAAGTTCCCCAGCAGGCTATGACGAGCATGTTGCCTGAATCACAGCTCTTTGTGAAGGCCAGCCCTGGGTGCCACAGTGGGTATTGGAAAAGGTTTTCTGAAATATAAGAGTCTTCTACTCCCACTCTTCCATTTCTGCAATCCAAAAATGGCAGCTAAATTCTGGTCTGGGAAGTGGGGGCACTTCTTTGCAAGCGTTATTGGAGAAGGGGAAACAGAAAGCTGTCAAGGTGTGAACACCAAGCCAGTGGAGGAATTCAGGGACATCCTTTATGGTTCTGTAGGATCATTATGACAGGAAGTCAGGAGAGATCCTGTTTGTAAACCTTCTCATTGTCACGAAGCGTTAATCAGGACCCTATGCAGATGGTAAAATCTGGAAGGGAGTAAAATGAACACGGGGGAGAGAAGACTAGGATTGGGGCTGGTAGATGAACAGGGGGGTGTGTCAACAGTGCACTGGTGCTTGGGGGGGGCCTGATCCAAGTGAAAGTCCAACGGGAGTCCGTAGGGAAATCTAGGGTGAGCAAAAGTCCAGAACCGGGTAATCCATCCTCGATAGACATGACGGAAGTTAAAAGCCGGAGCAGGATCTGGTGCAGGGACGGGGAAATAAAAAGGGGGACCCAGATGGACAGGATGCCGTGGTGAAGCCGATGCCGTCGGGCCACTCCAGGACTCGCTGGTAGGGGGGCTTTCGGGTGTCATCTTCCAAAGCTGAGCCCAGATTGGTAGGAGCGCCCGGCTTCTATAGGGAGGGGCTGGAACAGGAGGCAGGCGCAAGCAATTAACAGAAACAAGAAAGAGCCAGAGCGCCCTGAAGAGAAGGGGCTTACAATTGTGACATATGTTATAATTTATCATTTATATGATAATTATTAATAATTAGTCTTTATAAGGCTTTGAATAATTAATCTTAAAGGCTTTATACAGACCTCAGCTCATTTCCTCATTAATTTGAGAATCCTGGGCTGGTTGCATTCCGGAGAGCAGCATGAGCTCCTTGTGGCTCCATGATTGCATCATCACTTCCATGATTCTTGATCCAAGGGGGTTCTCCTGGACCCTCCCAGCTTTTCATCGTGCTAACTCGCTCCTCATTCCTCAGCTCAGTCTAACCTGTGTCACTCTTCAATCTCACTCTGTCATAGGTTATGCTTCACCTCTCCCTGAGTCACACCTCATCCACACTGGAGTCACGCCATTCCCCTTCCTCTCACCCGTTCTTGAGTCAATCCTCAATGTTTCAAAGGGAAGTTCAGTAGTTCAGTCAAATTGTTAATTACTCTGACAAATATAAAGGGAAGAGTGTACTTAATACTTGGCAGTGTGAAGCATTAACTTGCCAGGATGAGGAAATAACAGCCTTGGCCGCAAGGTCAAGACTGATAACCCCCCCAACACTAGGAATGAGCTAGGGAGGCTGCTACAAGGGTGAAGTTGGAGTGAAGGGAAGGGTGCAAGAATGAACATGCACCAAGGGGGCCAAACATGAGAAATATTAGACATACAGGAAGAGAGCAAGATTACAATCAGATATCCCCAGTTTCAAATTAACAAAACCCTTTTGATTGTTAAATAAAGTGTGACATCAGATATCATCCATTGTTATGTTTCCTCATTTGTGAAATATTACTGAATAAAATTCTAAAAGAAGCAAACCATGCAAACCTTGACAGTTTATGTGTTGACAAAACAATACAAGACATCACACAAATATCCCAACCAAAAGCAATACAAAAAAGTAATGAAACTGACATATATACAAAATCAATTGTTTATATTTGCACTATATATTACTTTAAATAAATTTAGAAACATACAATAATATCAGAATATCTATGAAAATAATAAGGAAAATAAAATACATATCAGGTCTTCTTAACTTATTTAAAGATCAGATGAATAACTCTGGCAATGCAAATAGTTTGGGAGATATGATTTTCCTATATAACGCTCATGACAGCATATTATTGTAGTGATGAAAATGACATGTTATGAACTATGATATTAAAGGATACATTATGTTGCACTGTTTTTTTTCATTGACTGTGCAATTATTGTATCTGAACTGGCTGACGTGATAGCTTAAATAAAGCCTAGCCCTTGCTTTCTCAGCCCTCTGTCCACATCTCCGTTACCTTCAGATCCAGCCGCTGTCTCCCCTCCTGCTGCCACACTGTTTTCCTCTGTGGGGGGGTGTGGCCTGCTGGTGTGGGATGCTGGGTGTCCCTCTTGGACTGGCTGACCCAACAGAAGGACATTGGCTTGTGTGAGATGCAAAGTCAGCTAATAATAATAATAATAATAATAATAATAATTATTATTATTATTATTATTATTATTATTATTATTATTATTATTATTACAAGAAGAAGAAGAATCCTTATATTTATATATTTATATAGTATATAGTATAAGAGTTTTACAGGCAATGAGAACCGCCATCCACAAACAACAGATAATCAGGTGTTCATGTCAACCCCCACTGGAGTCACTGCACTGTTTAACTGTAAAATAAGAGTGTGTTTCAAGTTTCTACTCTTCACTGACAAATATTTACACCGCCCTGCTTCACTGTACCTAAGGGATTGTTAGCTGTGAGCTGACTGGACTTCTACTGAACTGGTGGAACTCTTCACTCTTAAACATAGTTTGGTCCAATTTAATTAAAACATAAAAATGCTTGATATGTACTCTCAAGGTATCTGCAATTTTTATGGTCAATTGGACTCCAGAGTGTGTTTAAGTAATTCAATGGCACAGAATATTTAAAGGGATCTTTAAAGTGATCATTTTTAATACAGTATTTCAAGTTCTATGTCATTCAGCTCAGTATCTCTTAAATGAGCAGATCAAATGAGAAAAATGAGAAACAATATACAATATACGAGATGCAAAATCAAACCACTCAGCTTTCTCCGATTCTTGATATAGAACTACCTTTGCATTGTTTAAGACCGATTGATGCACAAGAATAGCAACGATAAGAGAGAAGAGAAAGGGAGCTCAGCAGTGGTCTACATGAATGTTTCGATCTCTGAAACCCCACTGGGATAATTCTCCTACAGCAGTGAGATACCACAGGTATTCAGCTCCACAGTCTGTCTTCAGGCACAGCTGCTCTGCTCTCACTTCTCCATCAGAAGTCCCCTGATTGTGAAAGCCCCCTGCTTTCACTTTCCCAGTAACAGCTAGTGGAAGCAAATCTAACTGGGACTACAGCTGGCACTCCTTAACAGTGACTGCTACACAACCAGCAGAGACGCACTAATATACAGTACAAAGGAATAATAATAATCACTGCAGATGTAAACAGTTTGCTTATTCAACACGTACATTTGTAAAGAAACTAAGTGCCGTTAATTTCAAAGCAATATAACTATTCAAAACATACATTTCAAAACAGGACACTACAAAACAAATATGCATAATTAGTAATTGAAATATGAAGCACAAAATAGAAATGATTAACTGATACTGGGGAGGGTAATGATGACAAGTCAATCTCACAGAGCTGTTTCTAATCATAATCTTTACCGCAATTAGCAATAGCAATTAGCAATAAACTATATATCTCATACACACCTCCTTTCTCTCCTCCTTGCAGCTGCCCCTTTGTTAACACCTCTCTATGAACAGGGTTCGACCCTCCTCGAACCAAAACCATCCTATCTAAAATACTCAATAATTTACGAAACATCTGATTCTAGGCTGTTATTGTCCCTCATGGACTGAAGTCATTTATTTGTGCTGTAAAGGGATCTCCTTCTGTAGGACATATTTTTGAATAACTGTGAGTCATAGGTGTGATAAACCCAGAATGTTATTTTTTACTTTTTTACTGTGGGGTTATGAATCAGAGGGGACAGCTGGAAAAATCTGCGTGGCAGCATGCCTATCTGTGCCCACTCTTCGTCAGGTGCTGGTCACAACATGCATGAGCAATGGACAGAAGTGAGACTGAGTTGGGCAGTGGTGTCAGTGGGATTTGAGGAATGACAGGCTTCTCTAAGCACAGATTATTTGCTAGACTTTTTAGTGGATGTGGATTTTTTTGAGACTTATGTCTTAAAAACTTGTTCTCTTCATTTCTGCTGATA